TCCAGATGAAATTAAATCACATTCCTCCATTCCTCCCCAGGAGGATGGCATCACTGACAGCAGCTGTGACACCAGAGGGTCAGGCCCACAGCAGCTGGTCCCCCTGGGTGGGGGCCGGGGCTGCCGGGAGTGGAGGGGCCAGGACTTTCCTCTGGAGGCCGCGGCTGAGCTGAGATCTTGTGTGTGGTACTTGACCACTGAGCCGCATCCCTGCCCTTTTTATTTTGAGGTAGGGTCTCTCACTAAGTTGCCGAGGTTGGCCTCAAATTTATGAGGGTCCTGCCTCCTGTGGTTCTTTTTTTTTGGGGGGGTGGAGGTACTGGGGATGGAACCCAGGGGCTCTTAACCATCGAGCCACACCCTCAGCCCTTTTTTATATTTTTATTTAGAGACAGGGTCTCACTAAGTTGCTGAGAGCCTGGCTGAGTTGCTGAGGCTGGCTTTGAACTTGCGATCCTCCTGCCTCAGCCTCCCCAGCCACTGGGATTCCAGGCCTGGGCCACTGTTCCTGCTCAGCTGTGGTTCTTTGGCCCCAGAGGCCAGAGCCAGCGTGGTAGCCATGGCAACAGGAGGGGCAAGGGTTAGACCAAGGGGCGCCCACTCTGCATGGAGCCTCGGGGAGTGATCCAGTTGGACCAGATGGGAGAACCGAGGCCCCACGGGAGCCATCCTTGTAACCTCTCCTTCTGAGAGGACCCTGCAAGAACGCGCCCGGGGCTCTGGGCTGAGCTCCCACACGACAGGCCAGCAGAGGGGCCCTTTAAGAGCCACACTTTGAGCAACCTTGGCCGGATCCCAAAGCCTGGGCTTTGATTTCCTTTGAGACTCTGGCAACAGCCCGCAGTGGCAGCGAGGGGACAGCGTGAGGCTGGGCTGAATGGAGAGCTCAGCCCCTGACCTCACCCTCAGAGGCGCCTCAGCCTGCGCTGCCTTATAAGGAAATGCCCCTAACAAACCGGGGAAGCCACCTCCGGCCCCCCACCCTGTCCCCGCCCCACTCAGAAGCTATATTTACCCAGAGGAGGCCCCAGAATAGCCTCCCACTTGTCCTCCTGCTGTGTGCATGGGGGGGGGGGTGCTGTCCCTCCTCAGTCCCTCCTCAGATCCTCCCTGGGGACTCCACCCCAGCAGTGTGTCCCGTTTCCTGGTCATTCACTGTGTTTATGGCGCATCCAGTGGGCTCCGGGGCACCCATCTGGCCTCGAGGTGAAGAGCAGGACAAAGTCCTGACCTTCTGCAAACTCTCCACAATGACAGGGACTCGACCCGTTTTCCTCCTGTCCTTTTTTTGTGGGGGGTGGGGGTGGGTGGAGTGGGGACGGACACTGGGAAGTGAACTTTATCCTGAGCTACAGCCCCAGTCCTTTTATTTTTTAAATACAAGGGCCTTGCTAAGCTGCCAGGACTGGCCTTGAACTTGAGATCTTCCTGCTGCACTGCTTGGCTTCCCAGAGCCACCCGACTGGTCTTGGTGGCTCCTCCAGGCCTCCGCATGCCTCTGCTCTCTACTGCGTGTCCCCGAGGGGCTCTGTCTGGCCTCTCCCCCTCCTACGAGCTCTGTCCTGGGAGACCCAACTCCTACTTCCAGCTTTTCCTGAGCTCCAGATCCACATCGGTACCCTCGCCCACAGCACCTTATCTTGGAGGTCACAACTCCCCACCAGATTCTCCATCTCAGCCACGGGGACCCCCTTCTCCCAGGTGCCCAGGATAACACCCTGGGAAGCTCTGCTGCCCTGTGTCCCCCACCTCCCCCGAGGGCGCACCAAGGAGCAGACCCTGCTCCCCATCCGCATCTCCTCTCCATCCTGGCTGCTGCCCTCTGGGCCTGGACCACTGGTTGGTCTTTTTGAAGCATTGCTGCCGGCTCTAATAGATTCTCCTGCAGCAACCAGGCTTTACTTACAATGACAACCTGAGCAGGGCCCACGCCTGTAATCCCAGCTGTTCAGGAGGCTGAGGCAGGAGGATTTCGAGTTAAAGGCCAGCCTCAGCTAAAGCAAGGTACTACACAACTCAGGGAGACTCTGTCTCTAAATAAAATACAGAATAGGGCTGGGGATGTGGCTCAGTGGTGGAGCACCCCCAGTTCATTCCCAGGACAGGAAGGAAGGAAGGAAGGAAGGAAGGGAGAGAGGGAGAGAGGGAGGGAGGGAGGGAGGGAAGGAGGGAGGGAGGGAGGAAAAAAAGCAACATTCCCAAATGCGAACCTGGCCCTCTGGCCATGCGGCCCCTACTTAGGCTCCCCGTTTCTCTTGGGAGGAAGCCCCTGGCTCTCCTCAGTCCCCTAGGACCCCTCCCTCATGCCCTTTTCTCCCTGCCCCTCAAGGGCCCCAGGACTTTGCACATGCCGCTCCCACTGACTAGGCCCCTCGCCCCTCCTTCCTTTCCACCCACTGGCCACTTCTGCTCATCCTCCAGGCCCTCGGGGCAGCCTTCCCGGACCGCTCCCTCTCGAAATACCCCAGGCCTGGTCAGGTGAGGTGACCTGCTCTATGGTCCCCAAACCTAGGGGACTTCTCTCTTTTCAAATGTGATTTCCATGCCGGGCACACACCTGGAATCCCACCCGTTCAGAGGGCTGAGGCAGGAGGACTGCGAGTCTGAAGCCAAACTCAGCAAATGAGGGAGGTCTTCAGCAACTCAGAGAGACCCTGTCTCTAAATAAAACATTTTTTTAAAAGGTCTGGGGATGTGGCTCCGTGGTTAAGCACCCCTGGGTTCAATCCCTGGTACCAAAAAGAAAAAAAAAAGATTTCCTCATGGAAGACTTTGTTCAATTAATAGGTAAGGCTTTCAGAGAGAGGAAGCAGGTTGTTGTTTGTCCCTGGATTCCCAAGGCCTGCACAGTGCTTGGTGCATACTAATTGCTCAGTAAATAGCTGCTGAAGGGGCTGGGGATGTGGCTCAAGCGGTAGCGTGCTCGCCTGGCATGCGTGCGGCCTGGGTTCGATCCTCAGCACCACATACAAAGATGTTGTGTCTGCCAAGAACTAAAAAATAAATATTAAAAAAATTCTCTCTCTCTCTCTCTCTCTCTCTCTTTAAAAAATATAGCTGATGAAAATTACAGTCATGGGCTGGGAATATAGCTTAGTTGGTAGAGTGCTTGCCTCACATGCACAGGGCCCTGGGTTCAATCCCCAGCACCATAAATAAACAAGTAAAAATCTTAAAAGTGACAATCACTCCCATTATCACAACCTATATCCCTGAAACTGTCCAAGCCTCGTTTCTCTTGCTGCATTGACACACTCTGACTTCCAACGTGACCTTACAGATGCCCTTTAGAAAAGTCCTTCCTCTGTCTAACTTACATCCCTAACCCCTGTTTGGGATTATTGTTTGGGTAACGCTGCAGGGGACCCTGGTACTTAAGGAGCGGGGCGGGATGTGCTCCCAGGCACAGGGAAGGGCCGCTTGGCTGGGCCTTTGTCCTGGGCACTCGCCCAAGCAGGGGTGCCCACGGGCCTGGCAGGACCAAGCACAGGGTGCGCCTGTCCCATTAGAGGGGCAGGGATGTGCCTGTTGCCTCCTGCCAATGTCTGGCCGCCTGGTGGGATCCGATAGGGCCTTGTTAGCAGGGCACAGGAAGAGCCAGGAGGCCTGTGTTGCCAGGAGGGGGGGCAATCCTGGGCCTCCAGGGCAGGAGAGTGGGAAGTGGGCCTGGTGCCCAGGTCGGTCTGGATGAGACAGAGGCAGACCAGCCAGGCTGCCAGGGACCTCCCGCCCGCCCCTCCTGGGCCAGAGGACCCGACTCAGGGCCAGCAGGGCGCTGACTCCCTGCTCTTTCCCCAGCCCTCAGCCCTGGGCCCGAGGAGCGGAAGAGCCCACTCCCAGGCGTGGGATCATCTCCAAGTGAGGAACCTTGGTTGGCAGCCCCTGCCACCCCACCCGGGGTACAGAGGGGTCGCCGGGTCCTCCGTCCCCCCAGCACTGAGCACAGAGCTGGTCTATTTAGGTATCCTGACTTCAAGGCCTCGGGCTCCGCCTAATCCAGGAACTCCCGGACCCTCCCTGGCCTGTACCAGGACCCAAGGAACTGAGAAGTGGGGGGCGGGGAACCAGCAGAGGCTTGGTGTGGCTGTCGCCCACTGATAACAAAGCCCAACTATCCCACTCCCTCCCTCTGACCCCCGATGGCTTTGGTCTACTCCCCTCCTCCCCACTTTCCCTTCTCCTGCTTAGCCTGTGAGGAAAGTCCTACTGAAGATCTAAGCTGAAGATCTCAAGCTGGCTCCAGTGGCTCAGGCCTGTGATCCCAGCTGAGGCAGGAGGATTGTGAGTTCAGAGCCAGCCTCAGCCACTTAGCAAGATCCTAAGCAACTCAGTGAGACCTGGTCTCAAAGGAGATGTGGCTCAGTGGTTAAGCACCCCTAGGTTCAATTCCCAGTCCCCACCCCCTCCAAAAACTCTAAGAGGCTTCCCGAGCCTCTCTCCCTTTCTCCCTGCACCAGGAGGCCCCCAAAGTCATGGAATCATGGGGTGCGACTTCCCCCCTGCACGGCTGAATCTGAGGTGCAGAAAGCCCTGAGCCAGGCCACACAGCCAGGCTGACGCAGACCAGACGTCCCCCCCCCTCGCCCCATTCCGACTCAGCCGGTTATCACAGGCCAGACAACTGTTTGGGTTTGGGGACAAGGGGGCTTATTATGCTGGCGGCACTGAGGGGCTGCTGGGGAGGACGCGCAGGGGTGGGGTGGCCCAAGACCTAATCATTGTCATCAGTGCTGCAGGCAGAGATGACAGGGGCCGGCGTCTGCAGACACTGAGGTCACCCAGGCTGGCCCTCTGCAGGGCTGCTGCCCGCTGCCCCAGTCCGTGGGTCTGGTCACCTAGTGTCCCCCCCCCCCAGGCCTCCCGGGAGGCAGCCCCTCCCTCACGCTGGCCTCTCCTGCTTCCTTCCCCAAATCTCCCCCCTATTTCTGCTCTTCTGCCCGCCCTGAGGACCCCCTGAGTGTGGGAAGGAGGAGCACAGACGCTGTAGGTGGAGGCATGGTTTTATTCAAGCAGGGGTGAGCCGGGCAGGGTGACAGTACGGCCCGGATGAGGGGTCAGGACACGGGCACACTCTTCACGTCCATGAGCCACAGGGCAGGCCTCCCAGGAGGACGAGGCTGCTGCAGCGGGTGGCGCAGGGCTGGGGAGCCCTGGTGGAGGCCACCACTGTCCCCTCCCTTGGGAGATGGCAGAATCTGAAGTGTTTACTCCCCAAGGCTTTGTTTTGGGGACAGGCTCCTCTGACACACCCATTTCACCTGAGCCAGCCGGGCATCTCGTCCCTCAGAAACCACAGACCTAGGATTGTCCATGAAGGTGACCTCAGCCGGGAGGGGACTTGGGGCCAATCGCCCACCACCAAGTCCTGAGTGCCACACTTCTAGTCCTCSCCGGAGGACCAGGAATCCCCCTCTCCTTCCCTGGGGGCGAACTTCAGGAACTGGCCAGGGCCCRGGTGGACAGGAGCCCCTGCCCGAGGGGTCTTCAGGGCAACCCCCTCCTCTTCCTGTAAGGGGATCTCTCTGTCCCCATCAGGGGCCTCAGGCGTCCCCTGCCCTGTGCCCTGGGACTGCTGCAGCCCATTCATCACCCTTCCATCCCCGTCCTCTGGCTCCTCCTCCAAGCTGTGGTCTCCACCGTTGACACTGAGGGCGTCCCCTGCCCGGGGGCCCGGGTCTTCCTCCCCTCTGGGAGTCTGTAAAGGCCCGGAGACTGGGTCCTCCCTCTCCAAAGGAGCGGAGTCAGACTCCTCCTCAGAGCCCGAGGGCTCAGCACTGTCCTGGGACTCAGTCTCCGGGGCAGTCACAGAGGCCTTCGAGCCATCGTCCCAGGGGACACTGACACCCACGGTCTCAGGCTCCAAGAGGTCCCCTCTCTGAGAGCTACTCAGAGTCTGGAGGCTGCTAACAGAGGCCCCTGGCCCCCACCGAGGAGCCCCCGGCCCCCTCCCCTCCTCTTCCTCCTCCTCTTCCTCCTCTCCCTCCTCCCCACCCTCCTCCTCATCTGCAAACCCATCGGACTCCCCATCCCCGTCCCAGACCTCCGGCTTCAGCATCTGGGGCACCTGGCCCAGAGGTTCTGCCAGCTCCCGGGGGTCTCCAGGAAGAAGGGACGCTTCAGTCACCAGATCCTCAAACTCCTCTGACAGGTCGGAGTCCTGGCCCTGCCCTTCCTCCTCCTCCTCCTCGGCCTCCTCCTCCTCCTCCTCTTCCTCCGCCTCCACCTCCTCCTCTGAGGGTTGGGCCCCGGGGCCCTTGGAGACCAGGGCAGTGGGATCCCAGCCCTCCTTCCTGGCTTCCCCTAGTGGGGAGGGCCTCTGTTCTCCTGCCATGTCCCATCTGGGGGAGGCAGGGGATTGGAAGTAGAGGCCCAGGGGAGTGGAGTCCGGAAGGGTCTCCCCTAACTCATCTGCCTCGCTCTCTTCTCGGCTTTCCTCCCCCTCCTCCTGGGGGTCTTCAGAGACGTCTCCAGGACCTAACTCCTCCTGCTCACCCTCCACCTTTCTCAGGGCTTCAGCCCCCGCTTCCAGCCCCCAGTCAGCCCCCAGGTTCCCCTTATCCTGGGGCTGAGGCCCAGGGGCATCTCCCAGGACTGGGGTGGGCCGCCAGGGTTCAGGGGGCCTGGGGCTGGGGGGCCCCAGCACTGGTGGAACATCCCCGCTTTCCTCTGAGCCCTGAACCTGGGGCTGAAAGGTCCCACTTCCTGAGGTCTCCACAGGGGACCCCTCCTCTGCTCCCCAGGGCACCTCCGATTCTGACCCCTCTGAGTCCTTGGGAGGCTCCGGAGGGTCTCTGCTTGTCCCGGGCAGTTTGGAGAGAGCTGCCCCCAGGACATCTGCCTCCTCTAGGTCCTTTCCAAAGAGTGGAGCTCTCTCTGCCCCCGAGCCTTCTTCCCCCAGGGGTGGCCACGTCACCTCCTGTCCAGCCTGGTGCCCTGGGTCCTCCAATCCTATCACCTCCTGCTCAGGTGCCAGCTTGGCTCCTACAGCAGCCTCGCCTCTGGCCATCTCTGATCCCCAGGCGACCTCCAGGTCACCCTCTGAGGCCTCACCCTCCTCTGCCCTCGGGGGCTCTGTCCCCCCTGGCTTTCCTGGGGAAGCTCCCAGGCCTGGGGCTCCCACCTGCTCCGGTGGCCCCGCAGCGTCCTGGAGGCCCTCGGAGTCTCCCTTCCCACGGGCTCCCTCCGCTGGGACACTCTGCTCCCCCGGCCCAGGGCTCCCTGTGCTCTCTGTGTCTCCCGTGACATTGGGCTCTGGCGCTCCTGGCTGCGCCACCTCCTCCTCCCCATCCTGCTCCCTCAGGTCCGGCTCTGCCTCGTCCTCACTTCCCACTCCAAGCCTCCCAGGGGGGGCTTCCTGGCTCAGTGCTTGGTCCCCCACAGCCCTGTCCTCCCACCTCTGCTGATTTGTGGACCAAGGCAGCTCCTGCCCCTCCTCTCCCAGGGACTTCAGTGACTCTCGAGTCTCTCCCTTCTCCAGCCTCTCTTCCTCTTCCAGATCCCTTGGACTTTCCTTCTCTGCCTCTTTTGGAAATCCCGGATTCTCTAGGTCCCACTCACCCAGAGATCTTAGTGGTTCTTGAGTCTCCTTTTCTAGGGGTCTCGGTGTCTCTTGGTTCTCTTCCACAGACGCCAGTGGTTCTTGAATTTCCATTTCTACAGCTTTCATTGTCTCCTTATTCATTTCTTCTAGAGACCAGAGTGGCTCCTGAGTTTCTTGACATTTCAATATTTCCAGGTTCTCTTCTTCTGCAGACTCGAATGGTTCTAGATTTTTTGTTTCCAAGGACCCCACTGCCTCTCCACTTTCTTCTTTTGGTGACTTGGATAACTCTTGGTTCTCTTTTTCAAGAGACCTAACTATCTCTTGGTCTTTTCCAAGAGACTTCAGTGACTCTGGATCCACCTTTTCTAGAGATCTCCATGTCATCTGTTCTTCTTCCCCTAGAGCTGCTGATGGCTGTTGAGTCTCTTTCTCTAAGTGTCTCAATGTCTCTTGGTCCTCTTCCTGAGAGGAACACTCCTGATCCTCTTTTTCTGGAGGCATTATACTCCCCTGGTCCTTTTCTAGAGAACTTTGGGGCTGTTGAGTTTCTTTTTCAAGAGGTATCACAACCTTCTGGTCCTCTTCCTCTAGAGACCACAGTGGCTCCTGAATCTCTTTTTCTAGAGGCCTCACAGTCTTCTGATCTTCTTCTTCTTCTAGATACCTCAGTGGCTCCTGGTTCTCTTTTTCTAGAGGCCTCACAGTCTTCCCATCTTCTTCTTCTAGATACCTCAATGGCTCCTGGTTCTCTTTTTCTAGAGGCCTCACAGTCTTCTGATCTTCTTCTTCTAGATACCTCAGTGGCTCCTGGTTCTCTTTTTCTAGAGGCATCACAATCTTCTGATCCTCTTCCTCTAGAGCCTTTGGTGGTTCCTGATTCTCTTTTCCTGAAGGTCTAAATGTCTCCTGGTTCTCATTTTCAAGAGCCCCCAGGAACTCCTGATTCTCTTTTGGTAGAGATCCCCATGATCCCTGGTCCTCTGGTTCTTCAGATCCCAGAGGCTGTTGGTTCTCCTCTTTGAAAGCTCCCAATGATTCTAATTTTTCCTCTTCTGGAGACTTCACTGATTCTTGATATTCTTTTCCTGCAAATAAAACTGTCTCTAGATTACCTTCAAGAGACATCATTAGTTCTTGGTTCTCCTTTTCTAAGGATTGCAATGTCTGTGAGTCCTCTTTTCCTATAAGTCTGGGTAGTTCAGGAGCCTCCTTTTCTAGAGGTCTCTCCAACTGCATGTCTTTTTCTTCTAAAGATTTCAGTAGCTCTGGATTTTTGTTTTCCAGATCTTTTCGTGTTTCTAAGTTCTCTTCCTCTAAAGACCTCAGAGATTCTTGATCTTCCTTCTCTAGTGACTCATGACTCTGGTTTTCCAAGGACATTTGTGGCTCTGGAATCTCAATTCCCCCAGTCTGCAGGGTTTCTTTTTCCAAAGGATCCCGATCCTGAATTTCTTTCATGTCCAAGTCTCCTTCTTCTGGCCATGTTTTCTGCTGCAYGTTTCTCTCTACGTGGACCTCTATGGCTGCTTCTTTCTCTACTAACCCCCATACTTGCTCTTCACTTTCTTCCTGGAATCTGCTGGATGCTATAGATCCACTGGGTTCTCCATCTTTAGCCTCTAAACTGGGATGATCAAGGCCAAGGGGTGGGGCCAAAGAGGACTGATTCTCAGGTGACTGGCTTGTACTGGCCTCTGGCTGCTTGCCCCCTGGCTCCTGTGGTCCTGGGAGGATGCTGGCAGGGACAGCCCCCTTGGCTTCAGCCCACACAAGCTCTGGAGCCTGTTGGCTCTCACCCTGCGGCTGGACCAAGGAGACAGGAGCATCTTGGGCTCTGGCCGCTACATTTGTAGCAGGACAGGAAGCCTGAGGTGTGGGTGGGATGGGGGTGCTGGCCAAGGCGGGGGTACGGGCCTGCAGGAACTCGTGGCTCTTTAGAAAGGCTGGTACAGGTGTCTCAAGGGCATTAGGCAAGGGAGATGGGAGGGCAGTTGGGCTAAGAACAGGAAGCAGAGGTCCCAGACGCCGGCCCTCTGGGGTCCCGGGGAAATGCAGCTCTGGCTTGGGGTCTGGAAAGGTAGAGGAGGAAGAACAGTGTCAGTATGTACTGGTCCTCCGGGGAGCCACCAGGCAGCCATCACTTCCGGCAGGAGTGCAAGGGACGACAGGCTAGGCTGAGAGTATGTCCAGCGCAGCGCTTTGGGGGCCAAGGAGTTAAGACTTAGAAAAATCTGCCTGGGCAAGAAAAGCCACGAAGCTAGGGGTTCAGGGGGAACCCGGCCCCTTCTCTTACCCGGGAAGCTGAGGGAAGCTTTGGAACTGCCACCAGGGGTCTGTAGCCGGGAGTTCTCAGCCTCCAGGAGGGTCCTGGGGAGAGGGAGGAGAAGCTGGGTCAGCCTTGGGTCCTCAGGAGGCCTGCGGCTGGCCTTCCAGAGGCTCAGGGCTGAGCTTTGAGCTGAGGGCTCCCGCCACTGCAGGCTCCCCCTTCCTTTAACCACTGTCACACAAAAGCCACCCACAGGGTGAAGCCACAGTCACAGACATCACACACTTGGTCACACAGAGTCACACACATATTTGGGGCACTCTGGGGACCTCAAAGATGCACAAGTGGATTCCCACACAGTCAGACGCAGGGCCACCAGCACATCACTGGTGGCTTCACCGTCTCCCCCTCCCTCCCCCTCCCTCGGGCTCCCCCTCCCATCCCAGCCCATGACCTCATCCCCGGTTGGGGGGCCAATTCTCATGCTAATTCCTGCCTTTGTCCCCGCGGCCATCTGGAGGGTCTGAGAAGGGGGGCTTCTCAGGGGAAGTGGGAATTCTCAGTCTGTTCCCAGGGGATGGGCTCTCTCCTCCTCCCCTGGGGGTCCCCCAGAGCTGGCGACAGACAAAAGCAAATGAATTCAGCTCCTTCTCTGCAAATACTTTTCAGGCCTCAAAAACCAGCGGTTGCATTCCTCAGGGGAGCCCAGACCCTTCCCCTCAGTGGTATGGGGTCAAGGCCCTTATCTTGGGCTCTCTCAGGGCTCTGGATCCCAAGCCCCTTCAGGGAATGGAGGTCATTTTGCCCATGCCTCTGCCTCAGTGCCGCATCGGGCTGACTGGGGAAGGGAGGACCAATCAATCATATAAATTATTATTATTACCTTTTTGTTCCAGGGATTGAACCCAGGGGCACTAAACCACCAAGCCACATCCCTAGCCCTTTATATATATATATATTTTTTTTTGTTGTTGTTGTTTGTTTAGAGACAGGGTCTCACTGAGTTGCTTAGGGCCTTGCTAAGTTGCTGAGGCTGGCTTTGAACTCCTGATCCTCCAGCCTCAGCCTCCAGAGCCACTGAGATTACAGGCGCGCGCCACGTGCTGGCTCAAACAAGTTATTCTGAACATTCACTTTCTCCTCTTCTCCATGATCCGGTGGCTGTCAGATCCACTGGAGTGTCACCTCTATCCTTCCCGAGGCAGCATGGGCTCTCTATGCTCTGTGGACGTGGGGTCACTCTCTTCCCCACCCTTCTTATTCTGGGGCCTGGCTCCCTTCCCTTCCTGGGCCTGTCTCAGAGCCCCTTGCCCTTTCTGCCAGTGGACTCTTGGGCTCTATCCTAAAAGCTCATCCAGCCCTGAACTCCCACCCTGTGGATGTCACTGGATCCTCAGGCAGCAGAGAGCTTGCAGAAGAGATGTGGGCTCTGCCCCAGGCGGAGTAGCCTTGCTCAGCCTCTCCAGGCAACAGAGGGGCGGTGCCCTTGGGCTACAGAGGAGTCGGACCCCAGATCTTCAGGCTAAAAGGTTCCTCAGACAGATGTCACCCAGTTCAGCTCTTACCTATAATCAAGGCTATGATCCTGGTCAAGTGACAAGTCACTATGACAACCCACACAGGCAAGGACTCCTTTCTTTTTTCTTTTGGTACCAAGAATTGAACCCAGGGGTGCTTAACCACTGAGCCACATCCCCAGCCCTGTTTTGTGTTTTATTAGTGACAGGGTCCCACTGAGTTGCTTAGGGCCTCACTTAGTTGCTGAGGCTGGCTTTGAACTTGCGATCCTCCTGCCTCAGGCTCCCTGGGATTACAGGCACGCACCACTTTGATGGGCTGCAAGGTCTCCTCTCTGAGGCTGCCTGAGGACATTTCCCCCTGGTGCGACCACACACACACACACATACACACACTCACACACACTCTCACACACACACACACACACACACACACACACACTCAGATGATGGGTTTCAGCCCCTTGGGGGAAGGGCCAGGATGCAGATGGCCCACAAGTGTCCAGCCCCTCTGCTGAGGCGGTCCCACTTGGCCCTTCACCCCTCCTTCCAGGACTTCTTGGGCTCAGGAAACTTCTCTGGTCCTGAGCCCAAGGGAGCGCAGGGGGCTCAGATGGGAGATGTCCTGGTGTGGAGATGACCAGTTCAGGGTCACAAAACCCAGTAAGAGCAGAGCAGCCACCACCTACCCCTGGGCCCTTCCAGCCACAGAGTGACCGCCCTGGATGAGTGTGTATGTTTGTGTGCCTGCGCGGGGACAATCCTTACCTGTATGTGGCCACCTCCAGGCTGAGGGACATCTTGAGGTGTGCCAGCTGCTGTCGACCCTCCAGGACCTGGGCGATCTGGCTCTGGAGACCCTGCTTCTCCTGCTCCAGGGCCTCCACAGCCAGCTGCAGAGCAAGGGGGGGGCAGTCAGTGGGGCGGCGGGGTCCCCCTGCTAACTACCCAGATTTCCTACTCCCTGATTCCTCCTAGCGCAGAGCCTCCCCCTTTCCCCCACCCCTCCTGCCAGGGAATCTCCACTGGGCCCCCCAAATAAGCACACGGCCCCTCCCAGCTTCTCCCATGCCTGGCTCCTCGGGAGGATGCTGATTAACTGGGAGCACATGTTGTTGAGAATTCAGCTCCCACAGGAAGGGGGAGGTGAGGGGGGAGAGGAGATGGGTTACAGAGGAGGAAAGGGGGGAAAGTGGAAGCAGAAGGAAAAACGATTAATCAAGAGCCTGGAGCCTGCAGCCTGCAGCCCGGGAGCCCAACAGCCCGGTCCCATCACGTCTAGCTCCTCACCCCAGGCCCCGCCCCTCCACTTCCTACACGTTCTGGAATCTTTCAGAGGAGGAGTGGGGAGGTGGCCGTGGTCAGACCTCGGTCTGGCCCAGACAAGAGGCTGTTTTCTCAGCTGTTGGTCCCATCTGTGCTGTTCCTGAGGAAGCAGCTGTCCCAGGCCTCTGGAATGTGCTCCAAGGAGCTGAGAAGCCATGACATGGGAGAGGGTCTGGGGCCCTGGCTCCTCCTGCCAGGTAGAGGCTCTGAGAGGCCAGGCTAGAGACCTGGAGCTGGCGTATAAAGCGCCCAGCATCTTCTGAGTGACAGCAGCCGAGGGAGGGCTGCAGGGCGTCCTGGGCCTGCCTGCCTGCCTTTCAGAGGCATGCGCTCTGGAGGCCTCTACATCCCCATCCTTCCCACCCACCCCAGACGGGCTGTGAAGGTCGAGGGCCCCTGGCACCCGATGCGGGTTTTCTGAGTGGTGTCTCCTGCCTGCATCGAAGGCCACCCCTGCCTGTTGCCTTCCCCAGAAGGGACCAGGTCACAACCTCACCTGGAACTTTTCAGTGGCCCGCAGCCGCTCCTGCCAGCGGCCCTCCAGCCTCTGTTCCAGCGCCTCCCTGCGCTCCTGGAGGCCGCTGCGCTCGGTCTGGAGCTGCTGCAGCTCCAGGCGACCCTCCCGAGCGCCCTGCACGGCTCTGCCCAGCCGCTCGCGGGCCTGGCCCAGGGACGTCTCCATGTGCGCCACGCGCTCTTGGTAGCCGCGCACTGCCCCGCGCCACGCGTCGCCCAGCCGCCGGGCCAGCTCCTCCACCTCCGGGGCCGGCGCTGGGGGACCGCGGGGTCGAGCGGGGACCCGGGGGACACAGGCAGCCTGAGCGTTCAGACTGGCGCGTTCCTCGTCGTGCGCGGCGCGCAGGGCGTCCAGCTCGCGCTCCAGCTCCGCCGCCTGTGCGCTCAGCCAGCCCCGGGCGCACTGCTCGGCCTCGACCGCTCGCCGGCTGCGGGCTGCCTCCTCGGAGGCCCGCTCCCGCGCCAGCCGCAGCTGCTGGCATCGGCCCGCCACGCCCTCCAGCTCTTCGGCCAGGTTGTCGCGCTCCACCTCGGCCGCGTGCTTCTCCCGCCAGCGCTGGTCCACGAGGGCCCGCAGGGCCGCCAGCTCGTCGTCGGCTCGGGCCCGCCAAGATGTGTCCCCGGACTGTGCCCGGAGACCCCCGAGCTCCGCGCTGAGCAGCTCGTTCTGCTCCTCCAGCGCCTTGACCCGGGCCAGGTAGGCCTCCAGGCGTCGGTTGAGCTCCCACAGCTGGAAAGATTCCTCCCCCAGGCAGCCCTCCATCCTGCTCGTCGGAACCACTCTTAGGACGTGGGGCACCGGGGAGAAGGGAGCGGCTCTCGGAGCTTTTGGGAAGAAAGAGACTTGAGGGGACAATGACAAGGCGGGGCGGGGCGGGGCGGGAGCAGCGCGAGCGACTGGGAGTCCGGGAGAGGGAGCGAGGCTATTCATACTCCCGCCAGCCGGGCGGGAAAGGGGCGGGACCCGGGCTTAACCCTTTAGGGCTCAGCCCAAGATCGCCCCTGCTCCTGGGTGTCCCCGGGGGCTGGGGAGTGGAGCCAGGCCCTGGGGAACCCCACCCGGTGGCTTTCTTCGGGAGGAGGCTGTGAGCAAAGGTCAGAACCCCCTTCATGGCACACGACGCACAGAACTGAGGCTGCGGCAGGGGCGCCGTCTGCCACCCAGCACACCCATCACTTAGGCCCCCAAGACTCAGTGTCCCATGACCGACCACCGGCTGCGGAAGAGACGGAGGTGGCCGTGTGTGTTTTGTACATGGCACCTTCTGCAGGAGGCAGGACCGCCACCGCTGGAGAGCACCGTCGGGAAAACAGGATCAACGCTGGGTACCCGAGGAGCGCGCCCGTGGGGTGCGCCCACCAGGACCCTGGCCTCGGCCTAACGAGACCAAGGGAAGGGACGTCCTAGGCTCAAGACCACCGACCCGTTTCGCTGCCATCCTTCCTGCAGCTCTCGTGGACGACCGCTGACATCTTCGACACCGTTAGGGAGTTCTCCAGCTCTCAGGGGACGGCGCCTGGCGAGTGTCAGGAACTGGGGGACCGAGGGCGCCCCCTGGTGGTGTAAAAAGTCGGATCCAGAAGAGAAGCCGGGGGAGAAACCGCCTGTTTTTCCTCTGGGTGAGCAGCCCGGGCTGATGGGGCCTTGGGGATGCTCCGAACCCTGTTCTAACATTTGGGTTCCATTATCTGACTTGGTCTTTGGAGCATCCTTTTGAAGATCCTACAGTTCAGGAAGCAGAGAACTCTCTAAGAATTGCCGGGAAGGCCTTCTGGAGGGGGCGGGCAGTCTCTGAGTTGGGTGGTGAGGGACTCAAAGGATTTGGGGTGTTTATTTTGCTTTAGTGGCCATTGAACCCGGGGGCTCCCTACCACTGAGCTACATTCCCAGCCCTTTTTGTTTTGGGAGACAGGATCTTGCTAAGTTACCCAAGCTGACCTCAAACTTGTGATTCTCCTGCCTCAGCCTCCCGCGTTGCTGGGATTACAGGCTGCTCCAAGCCTGGGGTATGAAGAGCGCTGGAGGAGGAAGCTCAGGGATCATGGGACACAGGCGGATCTTTGGAGGAGGAATTTCTACTCGTGTCGATGCTGTTTAGTTCTACCAGTTTTCATTGAGCTTCTACTATGTGTCAGCACCAAAGAGATGGCAGAACTCTGCAGCAGCCCTGGAAACACGCAGCAGGTCCATGTGAGGAGGGGAGTTTGGTTCTGTGTCACATGCAAAGAGCAGTGGCTGTGACTTTTGCACTTTCTAGCTGAATAGCTCTGGATAGGTCATACAACTTCTCTAAGTGAGCCTGGTTACCTCTTTGTAAAAGAGATTAGAACCGCTTTACCCCCACAAGTTTGTTCTGGGAATCAAATGAGACCAGATCTGGGGAGCTCTTTGTACCTACCCAAAGGGTAGGTACAAAGAGCTTTGATGAAGATGAAAGCCGTTCGCAGCAACCTAGGAGTCTGGGGCAGGAGGATTGTAAGTTGGAGCCCAGTGAGACCTTGCCTCAAAATAAAAATTAAAAAGGGCTGGGGATGTAGCTCAGAGGTAGGACACTCCTGGGTTCCACTCCAGTACCGCAAAGCAAAGTTCCTTTCTTTTTTGTTTCTTTCTCTGAACCCACCTTTTGCCTCCTAATGCAGGGCTGGGGCCAGGGCCGGACAGGAAATCGCTGGGTTCTCATCCCTGACATTGCCCTCCTTTATCTCTTCTCCCTTCCTCTCCACTCCCCAGCTGGGTGGACGGGGCTGGACATGTGTGGCAAAGGAATAAGGTCAGCTTAAGTCTTTTTTTTTTTTTTTTGATACCAGGGATTGAACCCAGGGGTACTCAACCACTGAGCCACATCCCCAGCCTTTTTTTAATATTTATTTTTTAGTTTTAGGTGGTCACAGTATCTTTATTTTTCATTTTTTATTTTTACGTGGTGCTGAAGATCAAACCCAGTGCCTTATGCATGCTAGGTGAGCGCTCTACCACTGAGCCCCAGCCCCATCCCCACCCCATTTTTAATATTATTTAGAGACATGGTCTCATTAAATTGCTCAGGGCCTCACTCAGTTGCTGAGGCTGGCTTTGTACTCAAGATCCTCCTGCCTCAGCCTCTGGAGCTGCTGGGATGACAGGTGTGCGCCCCCTCACCCAGCTAGTCACTATCTTTTCACAAGACATGGGTAGAAGTGAGGGAACAGGGTGGAGATCAGGGGCTAGGGACATCTTTATTTTATTTATTTTTATGTGGCGCTGAGGCTCGAACCCAGTGCCTCACGCCTGCGAGGCAAGTGCTCTGCCACTGAGCCACAACCCCAGCCCCTGTGTCTGGACTTTTGCTGAGCGTGGTGGTGGCACACGCCTGTAATCCCAGTGACTTGGGAGGCTGGGGCAGGAGGATCTTGAGTTCAAAGCCAGCCTCAGAAATTTAGTGAAACCCTAAGCAAGTCACTGAGACCCCGTCTCAAAACATCAAAATGGTTGGGGATGAGGCTCGGTGGTAAAGCCCGTGCCTGGCCTGCATGAGTCCTTGGGCTCAATTCCCAGCACCTAAATAAATAAATAAATTTCATTAATCAGGGAGTTTTTTAAAAGGGATGAGGGCTGGGGATGTGGCTTGGAGGTTAAGTGCCCCTGGGTTCCATCCCTGGTATCAAAAGAAAAAAAAAGAGAGAGAGAGAGAGAGAGAGAGAGAGAGAGAGAGAATACATATTGGACTTTCCAGCCCGAGGTTGGGGTCATTGATCCCTTAACTTGGTGGGTTTTTGGGTACCAGAAAAGGGGCTTTTAGGAATATGGCCTTTTCCTGTCCCCCTCTTCTTCAGGGACAGTACACTGGGAAAAGAGGGTAGGAACGTGAGAATGGTTCCGGATGCGGGAGGGGACAGTGGCTGAGGAAGACGTGCAGCCCTACCAGATGTGCGGGGCTGGGGCTCAGGCTGGGTTTGGAGTTCCAAGGGTGAAGCACAGTTAGAGTGGATGAAATTAGAGGAGTCCGGCGCATTGGTGCTCGCCTGTAATCCCTGCGGCTCGGGAGGCTGAGGCAGGAGGATCTCAAGTTCAAAGCCAGCCTCAGCTATTAATGAAGCACTGAGCAACTCATCGAGAACCGCTCTTTAAGTAAAATATTTAAAAGGGGCTGGGGAGGTGGCTCTGTGGATAAGCACCCCTGGGGGGTTCAATCCTCAGTACCAAAAAAAAAAGATTCGAGTGGATAAGGGCGACCTTGGACATGCACAAGGTGACACAGAAAGAGAGGGTGAGAACACAGCACTGGAGGTGCTCCCTTCTAACCCTAAGCTTCTGGGCCTGTGCTTTTGATAGGCAACTTGGAGAGAAGCAATCTGCCCCCAATTCCTTACCCAGCTCGGTTCCATCCTGCAGAGGTTGGCCATAGGGCATGGCCACCAGAGGGCGCTATTACCTCAAAAAAGTTAACAGCTGCGCGTGGTGTCACATCTGTAACCCAGAGGCTGAGTTTGTGATTTAGGTAGACCCTGTCTCAAAAAAAAAAAAAAAAAAAAAAAAAGCTGAGCATGGTGGTGCCCGCCTGGAATTCCAGTGACTTGGGAGGCCGAGGCAAGAGGATCACAAGTTCAAGGCCAGCCTCAGCAACTAAGGGAGGCTCTAAGCAATTTAGTGAGGCTCTGTCTCAATCAGTCAATCAATCAATCAACCAATAGGGTTGGGGATGTGGCTTGGTGGTTAAGTGCTCTTGGGTTCAATCCTGGTACACAAAAAAGAAAGGTTACAAAATAAAAAGGCTGGGGACGTGACTCAGAGGCAGAGCGTCCCTGGGTTTGACCCACAGTACAAAAACAAAAGGCTCAGACTTTTTTCTTTTTTTTCAGGTATGCAGGAGGCTGAAGCAGCCCTGAGAGGCCAGGGCCACAGGGACAGGTTTCAGCCCAGAATATTGAGCTCGCACAATACTTGTTTCTGGGCTGGCTGAGCTGCCGCCAGAGGCAGTGAGGACCCGTTCCTGGAGCGCTCAGGTCCAGACAGGATCTGTCTTGGGAGGTTCCTTTTAGAATCCAGAAAAACCCAAGGACTCTAGAAAGGAGCAGTGACCCCTGGGTCCTCCCCACACTCCCTCCCTCCCGCCCCCCATCTCTTGGAGGTACTGGAGATTGAACCTGGGGCGCTCTGCCGTGAGCTACATCTCCAGCCCTTGATTAACGTTTGGTTTTGAAACAGGGTCTTACTAAGTTCCTGAAGCTGGTCTCGAACTTGTGATCCTCCTGCCTCAGCCCCCCAAGAGCTGGGAGCCCACAGTCCTCCTTTTATCTTTCCTGGCCTGAGGGTTCTATAAGCCAAAGCAAAGGCCTGGGGTTAACCCTAAGGAAGGATTGCCCTGCTTCGTGAGGTGTRGCAGAAAAGAGGGGGATCGAGGAGGAAGAGGGAGCTGGCTTGACCACCAGCCACTCCCCTAGCCAAGTAGGACAGGGGACTCAGGCCGGGGCGCAGGAAGCGGACCAGGCTGCAGGAGGGAATGTCGTCCACATCTCCATCCAAGAGCATTCTGAAGTCCTGTCCAGCCCGGGACCGAGAGGGCCAGGCCCCCTCCAGGCCCTCTGCTAGGTGTCATGTCTCAAAGGGCCGCGAGATGGCGCCACAACACAGAGGCGCTCCTTCCTACCGTATTTACGGGACCGGGCGCGCTGTCTTCCTGCTGGGACGCGCAGGCTCCGGGGGACCGACTGGGAGGGAAGAGGAGGCGGACGCGGAGGGTGGTAAGGGTGACTGAATGGCCGGAGAGGAGGGGTCCGAGGGGCCGTTGGTCTACCCAGGGCAGCTGGGGGAGAGGGAGGTATATTTATCCCCTGAGCCATTGCATTAAAAATAACTGGGGGCCCGAGTAACCCAAGCTCCTCAGCCTTCCAGGCC